TGCCAGCCTGTGCCCTGTGTTCTGGAGCTGCAGCACACGACGGGCAGCATGGGCATGGCCTGGGGCACCAGCCTGAGGTGGCAGCAGGCCCCTCTCCATGGGGCAGATGGAGAGAGTGTGGAAGGTGCCGGAGGCAGGCAGGTTACCATGCAGCACAGTGCCGTGCCGTGCTGCGAAGGGCAAGGATGCTGTGGCATGCCTGGGACACGCAGCAGCAGAGCCAAGCCACAGTGGGACTCCAATGGGCGATGGGACTCCTACGCAGAACACAGGGCTGCCTTCCCGTCGGCTTTTCCATGCCAACAGGCAGACCTGCTCCCTGAGGGCTCAGGTCTATGGGCAGGGGGGGTGCCTGCCCACCCTGAACCCTGACCCACAGCCCCATCCAGCACTGCCCCAATTGCTGGCCCCCCTGGGGTCATCCAACCGCCTGCCCACCCTGAACCCTGACCCACAGCCCCATCCAGCACTGCCCCAATTGCTGGCCCCTCTGGTGTCATCCACCCAGCAGCCCCAGGGCTGCGGTCCCAGGGCCCTCCCTTGCAGTCACTGGATGCCCCTTTTTAGTGACCAGCTGCAAGAGCAACCAAGATGAAAAGCCCACATCAGGCCACAGAGTCGTGTTTCCATGGAAATGCTGGTGCTCCACAGCACAGCTCCAGCAGCACTCACCTCGCCGTGTGTGAGCAGCAGGCCCAGCCCTGCCTGGCAGCCAGTTGCCCATCCCGGTAACACTGGCATCACTGCCAGCTGCCCACACTGCGGAGCCTAGTGTCCTCTTGAAGGCAAGATGCCTTTCTGGCCCAGAACAGGGGCTTGCCCTGCCCTTCTGTCCCCACTCCTCATCCTTGCATGGCCCCAGCTGTGTGCTGTCTCCATGTGCCAGCACGGCCACCCCAGCTAGGACCCCAAGGGCAAGCTGGTGACAGAGGTCACGTTGCTATTATGCTACTGCCTTTGCAAAACCTCCGAGCCTGCCATCTGTCCGGGGTGTCCTTGACCATCAGCAGCATTTCTTTGGAGACCTGGCAAAGCCCAGGGGACAGGGTCCTGGAGGGTATGCGCAGTTAACATCTGTGGGATGACTGTGGGACATCCTCAGCTTCAGGGCACATGATTAGAGCTGCTGGCAAAGAGAAGTGTAAGGGAACTGAACCGCAAAGGTGTCCCTGGCATGGGGAGGGGATGTACAGCGGCATCACCAGGACAGCGTCCTGGCCGTTGTCCTCGCAGCCCTGATGGACCCAGGACAGAGGGCAGCAGACCCGCAGGCAGGCAGGACAAGCTGTTACACCGTGTGCTGCAACCTCCTCTGCTCCGTGCTGCAGTGGCACGAAGGATTTCTGTGCTCACCCGCTGCCAATGCCCTTCCTGGCAGGGCAGACTCAGACCAGAGGGTTTCGTCTCTCTGAGGGCAGCAGCCTGGCTCCAGGGACACCTTATGCTGCC